GACGCCAGGGCCCAGCCACGATACGTCAAGGAAGGCCAATGGCATATTGAAAGGCTACCCCCCTTACTCCCCCCCCAGGGCCGCTGCCGAGTCGCCGACCCGTTTCCACGTGCTCAAGATGGCTTAAGGCGGCCCAAGAGAACCCCAAAACGGCCCCAAGACGACCCAAGATGGCTCCAAGAGCGCCCAAAAAGCTCCGGAGACGCCCCAAAAGAGCCCCAAGACGACCCCCAAGAGCGCCTCCAGAGGCCAGAATCATTGATTCTCCTATGGTTTTGGGAAGAGTTTGGCGTTCTCGCTTTCCTCGACTCTGAGAAGCCAATGACGGCCCAAGCAACCTCCCAAATGGCCCCAAAAAGGCTCTAGAAACCCCCAAAAGGGCGCCAAGACAGCCCATGGGGGCCCCAAGACGGCCCAAAAAGCCCCCAAGACGGTCCAAGCGGCCCCAAAAACGGCCCAGAAGGACCCCAAGGGAGCCTCAAGGCGGCCGCGGGAGGCCCCCAAGACGATCTCCGAAGGGGCGACACGACGCCAGAGCGCCCCAAGACAGCCCAAGCCGCCCCCAAGAGGCCCCAAGAGGCCCAAAGAGGCCCCCAAGGGGCCCCAAAAGTCCCCAAGAGGCCTCCAGGAAATCCCCAAGAAGCATCCCAAAGGCTTCAAAGAAGCGTCCACAAGGCCGCACAACGACTGGAGTGTATTGGTTTTTCTCCTAAAGAGGCCCCCAAGGGGCCCCAAAAACCCCCCAGGAGGCCTCCAGGAAATCCCCAAGAAGCCTCCCAAAGGGCTCACAGAGGCGTCCAAAAGGCCGCACAACGTCTGGATTGTATTGTTTTTTTTTTCTCCTGGGGGAACCACGGCGCAGCCCCTGTCACATGGAAGTTGGTCACGGCGGTGCCCATGAATAGACCCGGCGCTGGGAAGGAAAATAGGGCCGCCGTTTCCATCATCGCCCTCGATAACCCTAACCTGCCCGGAGGCAGGTCGGGCAGCGGAGCGGAAGCCCTAATGCAATGTATACGATGCATCCACTGATTGCACAACTGCTACATTTCGTATTCTGTAACGTAGTCATGTCTCCCCCCTTCACCCCCCCCGAAGCCACCCCACATCCACCGACCCAGGGGTGGCGGACCTCTGCTGGACACATCCACTGCAAAAAACATTGACAATCAATGAGTTGGGCCTCCTGGGCCTCTGTCTCAAAGGCCGTGACGATGGCTCAAGATGGCCTCAATACAAGCCAAGACGGCCCAAAGACGGCTCAAGATGGCCCCAAGAGGACCCAAGAAGCGCTCAAGACGGCCCAAGACGACTTCAAGGGGACCCCCAAGAGCGCCCCCGGAGGCCAAAACCACCGATATTCCATGGGGTTCTGAAGGAATTTAGCTTTCTCGCTTTTTTCGCCTCTCAGAAACCCATGACGACCCAAGCAACCTCCAAAATGGCCCCAAGACGGCCTAAGAAGCCCTGAAAAAGGCCTCCACGACGGCCCAAGCGGGCCCTCAGATGGCCCAACTCAACTGGACCCCAACAAAGCCCCAAAACGGCCGCGAGGGACCCCCAGAACGGCCTCCGAATGGGCCACACGCCACAAGAGCGCCCCAAGACGGCCCAAGACGCCCCCAAGGCCCCAGGAAGCCCCCACCCAAGACACACCTCCAAGAGGCCACAAAGAAACTCCCAAAAGGACCCGCAACAACTGGACTGTACGTGGTCCGGACGTGCACCCCCGCGAAGCGCGAGGAATCCACGTCCGGAGGTGACGTGCTGAGCGGCAGCGTTTTCTGCGGAGGCGATAATGCAACGTACCAAATGCATCCAATGATTGCATAATTGCCGCATGTTGTGTTGCGTTACATTATTATGTCTCCCCCCCTAACCCCCCTTGGGAGCTGCGCCACAGGAACGGACCAAAGTAGCCCCCCCCATCCCGGGGCTCGAAAACGTACCAAAACCTATAGAAAACCTATGATTTCGACCTCTTGGGCCTCTTGGGGGGCCAAGACGGCGCCAAAACGGCTCAACATGGGCACTGTGCGGGCAAGACGGCCCCGAGACGGTCCAAGATGGCCCCAAAAGGGCCCAAAAAGCCCCAGTGACAGCCGAAGAGGGCCCCAAGAGCGCCCACAACTGCGCCTCCAGAGGCCAAAACCATTGATTTCCCTATGGTTCGGTAATCTTTTAGCGTTCTCGCCTTGGCGGCCTGAGCAGCTTCCTACATCGCTCCAGAACAACCCACGAAGCCCCCCAGAGGGCCCCAATACGGCCCAACAGAACCCCAAGACGGCCCAAAGAGGCCCCCAAGACGGTCCAAGAGGCCCCTATGACGGCCCAAGAGGACCCCAAGACGGCCCCAAGGCGGCCGCGAGAGGCCCCCAAGACGGCCTCCGAAGGGGCGAAACAGCGCAAAAGCGCCCCAATACGGCCAAAGTCGCCCCCAAGAGGCCCCAAGAGGCCCCCAAGAGGCCTCCAAGGGGCCCAAAAAGCCCCCAAGAGGCCTCCAAGATGTCTTCAAGAAGCCTCCCAAAGGCTCCAAAGAAGCCCCCCAAAGGCCACACAGCGACTGGAGTGTAATGTCATTTTTCAAACCTGGGCGAACTGCGGCGCAGCGCCAGCCAGGTGGAAGTTGGTCGCAGCGGCGCCCATGATTAGAGCCGGCGCTGGAAGGAAATATGAGGAGAGAGTATGAAGAGGAGGGAGGGGGTGACTGTACGTGCTCCGGACGTGCACCCCGCGAAGCGAGAGGAATCATTCCTCTCGCCCAACTAAACTACGCAGCTTCGCCTCGCCCGCACGAATGACACGAACCCGAAACCAAAACCTGTTTCACGGTGGGGGTCTCCGTTCCACTTCGATTTCACCGCCCAAGCTCCGATGCATCTACATATATATATATATATATATATATGGGTGATGACGATGATGATAATGATGATGATGATGATGATGATGATGATGATGATGATGATGATGATGGTGTTGGTGATGGTGATGGTGATGGTGATGGTGATGGTGGTGATGATGCTGATGATGATGACGCTGATGATGATGATGATGATGGTGACGATGATGGTAAGGATGATGATGACGATGACGATGATGATGATGATGATCATGATGATGATGATGGTGGCGATGATGTTTATGATAATGACAATGAAGATGAAGATGAAGATGAAGATGATGATGATGATGATGATGATGATGATGATGATGATGATGATGATGATGATGATGATGATGATGATAGCGACGACGACGACGACGATGTTGATGATGATAGTGGTGTTCGGATATTGGGGCCATTTGAGGGGGTCTTTGGGCCGCTTCGGGGCCCTCTGACAGCCTCTTGGGCCGCCAGGCTGCCCCGGAGGCCCCAGAGGAGATACACGGGGCCAGCGACCTTGGGAAACCAGTGACCCCAGAACTGTTGGGTGGTGGGGCCTGCCAAGGGGGGTGATACGGGGCAGAAACCCACATTCAGACGGATTCCTTGGTCATGTGTTCTGACCCGTCCACCGAGCCACCTGCTGGCCGCAAAGATGCGTGACGAGAACGAGTCTCTTGGGCACGGATGTGTGCCAGAGAGACGATGATTTTCCTGCGCCCCAGTCGCTACACGCTGTACTGCTAGTGCGTGCTACATTGGCAGGGCATCCTTGCGTTTCAAGACAGACGCGTCCTCGCAGTTCAAGACGGAGACAAGCGCCTCACCTCCGTTCCTGGCTCACCCTGGGCACTCTGAGAAGGTCGCCCTCCTCTTATCCGCACACGCGTGTATACAACTCTGCTGACGGTGCCACCCTCCCAAGCGCATCATCAGACTATGCCCGCATGCGGAGCGTGGACCAAACCGCAAAATGGTCGGAGGGCAAGCAGCCGTCCTCTTCCGCGTGGTCAATATCAAACTGACCCGCCTGAATACCTCTCGTATGCAGGATCCAGTCGATCTGGCACATCTTCCCAGAAGCGCCAGGCGAGAGAGACTGCGGACAAGAAGATTCGGCCCAACTCTCGGGTGGCTTAAACGAGGGCCCCTCATAGTTGTGGAACGTCGGAAGTCTGCTTGTGGCCTTTTTGTTGCACTCTGCCCAGCTGTCCACCAGCCTACCAGAGTCCATGAAGCTATTGTAAGCGAGGGCGCCGGGCTCCGCATTCGAGTCACCGACAAGGACGGCCTCGTATCCCTTCCACCGTGGCTCTGATATTCGCAGGCCCAACGGGCCAGAGGCGTGCTAAGTTCTCCGATAACTGGTTAACAATTCTCTAGTTCGCGCGCGCGGGGCGGCCCCTGGGGGTCCCCGGACGAAAAGTACCCCGGGCGATCCCCGACCGATCCCCGGGAGACCACCAACAGGGCTCCGAGACGTCCCCGAGAGCCCCAAGAAAGGCCAAGAGGCCCCCAAGAGGCCCCCAAGATGGTACACGAGGGGTCCGACATGCCACAAGATCGCTCCAAGACGCCCAAGATAGCCCCCAGACGCCCCAAGAGGCCTCCAAGAGCACTCCCAAGAGGGCCCCCGGAGGCAAAATTCATTGTTTTTCCTTAGGTTTTTGAGAGATTTTGGAGCTTCCACCTTTTCGGCTTCCCGACGCCCCAAGACGGCCCCAGAGGCCCCCAAGATCGCCCCAAGAGGGCCCAAGAGGCCCCCAAGAGGGCCCCAAGATGGCCCAAGAGGGCTCGAAGACGGCCCAAGAAGCCTCCAAGACGGTCCAAGAGGGCCCCAAGAACGCCCCCAAAGGGGCCCCAGAGGGGGAACACGAAACAACATTTCGAGCCCTCGGCCCTAAGAAGCCCCTACGAGGCCCCAAGAGGCCCCTAAGAGGCCCCAAGAGGCCCCCACGAGGCCCTCAGGAGGCCCCCAAGAGTCCCCCAAGCGGCCCCAGGAGGCCCCCCGAATGCCCCCCCGAGCGCCCCAGGAGTCCCCCAAGCGGCCCCAGGAACCCCCAAAGCGCCGCATTGACACCAGGCCCTCGGGCAAACGGCAGACATGAGACTGTATGGGCCGGCGGAATGAGCGAAGCGATTAAATAAACTTCATAATCTGATCCGCGCTGCGCTGCCTGTTGAACTCACCCTGCTGTGTGGTTGGGTGATCAAAATGGAAATTCAGGAAGAGGAACTTACATCCACCCGCACCCCGCAGGCTGCACGCGGCCCACATCGCCACACGAGGGAACGCGGCCCCTGCAGCCGCACTGCCAACCACGTGGAGCGTGTCCGTGGCAAGCCAGAAGTGGCCGCTCTCGCTCACCTTCACTGTGGCAGGGTTCACTGCGAGCATTAAGCCCTCGGCCTCTTGAAAAGGTGCTGCACGTGGTAGCCTGCGTCGCGAAGCCTCTCGCTCAGCTCTCGTACCTGATTTGGCCCACATTCTTGCATACCGAGGAGGTCGGGCGCGCGATTAGTATTTGCCTGATTAACAAATCCTTGCGGGCTTTCCACCCGCTATCCCATCGGTGTTGATACTCTTTGGTTTCAACGAGAATCCGCCACCGTGCACCCTGGACCGTCAAGTAGTAATTGAATGCCAAGTCCTGCCTGGCAGGGCATCTGTAATCCCAGCCCTCTTGGCGTTAGGTGGAAGACAGCCTTCAAGATGGCGCAAGATAGCCGAAGACGGGGCTCAAAATAGCCGCCGACATACCTCAAAGAGGCCCCAAGACAGCCTCAAGACGGTTCCAATTGCCCTTCGAGCCTCCCTAGGTACCATCCAAGAAGCCAAAATCATTCTAAAACATTGGAAACTTCAATGTGTTGTGCTTTCTTGCTTGTTCGCTTCCGATAGGCGTCAGAGGCCTCAAGATGGCCCCAAGATGGCCCAAAGGAGCCCCAAGAGGGGAACAAGAGGGCCCCAAGATGGCCCCAAGAGCGCCCAAGAGACGCCCAAGAGCGCTCCAAAAGAGCCCCAAGAAGCCATTGTTTAGCCTCCGCAGGGGGGAGCTAAATTACATACCCCCATCTTTTTGAGCCATGGGGACCCAGACGGCCCCACGAGACCACCCAGACCCACCCACAGGGCCCCAAGAGGGCCCCAAGCCAAGAAGGCCCCACGAAAGCCTCAAGAAGGCCCCACTAGGACAAAAAATGAATCCCAAAAGTGGGACATCGAGGCGGAGAATCTACATTTAGGACCTCGTTATTTGAGCCATCCGGCCCAAGACGCGACGCGTCTAAGGCAACAGGCAACGAGTGACACGTCCAGGGCCGCAGGCAAGCAGTGACACACGAGGGCAGCAGGTAACCAGCGATACGTAGGGAGAAACAGGCACGTAGCGCAGGAGGTCTGGCGATCGTTTCTGGATACACAAACACCCCTGCGCCCAGGTGCATGCACCACCCCACCACCCCCTGCCTCGGAAAACACGAAACTACGGTTCCGTGTTCCCGAAGCTACGATCCCTCGCAAACAAACAATTACCACAGACGTACCCAACCCCTTCGCCACGCGAGGAGAATATATGCGCAACACTCCATACGAAAGAACACATCGCCAGGTATGCACGATCTGCGCTGCCCTCACCTCCGCTGTCTCCCACGAGCCTACGACAATGGCGACAATGGCGGATTTCTTAGCCTCCCAGGGAGCAGCGAGGTCTCAGCTGGACCCGCGTGCTCCCTGGCTCCGCTGGACATCCCAGGAACCAACAAGAGTGGCAACACTTGTGCAATTCGCCGCATTCCGAAAAGCAGCGAGGTCTCAAATGGGTGCGCATGGCCCCCGACTCCGCTGGACCTCCAAGTTGCCCGCGAAAGTGGCGACGGCTGCAGTTCGCAGACACCCAGGGAGCTGCGAGGTCTCACACGGGTCCGTGTACTCCCCGCCTCCGCCGTGCATCCCAGGAGCCCACGAGAATGGCGACCTTCGCACAGTTCGCAGCCACCCAAGGAGCTGCGAGGTCTCAAATGGGTGGGCGTGGCCCCCGACTCCGCTGGACCTGCCAGGAGTCCACGATACGTGGCGACACTTGCGCAATTGCAGCCCCCCAGGGAGCTGCGAGGTCTCAAATGAATCCGTTTACTCCCCGACTCCGCCGTGCCTCCCAGGAGCCCACGAAAATGGCGACGGCTGCACAATCCGCAGCCACCCACGGAGCTGCGAGGTCTCAAATGGGTCCGTTTATTCCCCGACCCCGCCGTGCCTCCCAAGAGCCCACGAAAATGGCGACGGTCGCACAGTTCGCAGCCACCCAGGGAGCTGCGAGGTCTCAAACAGGTCCGTCCCAACAGCCGCCGTCGTCGATTTGGAAACAACACTTGTTGTTGGGCATCCTACCCATTTTCGCCGCAAAGTCGGACCTAGGCCCCAAAAAAACATCATTCAAGAACATGAGACCTCCGCCGACTAAAAACACACAGAACATCCAAGGGTACCTTCTCCAGGGCGCACAACTTTTACGTTGCTGCGCGGCACTGGCAATCCGCACACGCGTCCAGGTGACGTCGGGGACCGAGGCCACGAGTTAAACCGCATGCAAAAGGGAGGGGAAATGATAGCGGGCGGCCGCGAAGGAGGGGGGGAAGGAGCGCGAGGCCCGCTCACGCGGCGAGGCAGCGGTGGGGGGCGGGGTTCGGCCTGGCTGAGGTCCAGCGGCTACGGAGCGGCGTCGCAGCGCACCCAGGGCGGGGCCCAGCAGCCCATGGGCGGGCGAAACCCAAGCAAGTAGGAGGGTGGGTGGCCGCGGCGGCTGGAGACCAGGAAGCCGGCGGCGGAAGGGGGGTGGCGGCGCGGGGCCAGCGACGCGGTCGGCCAGCGCTGCAGCGGCTGCTGCACGGTACCCAGGGCAATGAAGGGCCAGCGGCTCCGAAAGGGGGGCGGCCAGGGCACTCCTGATGCGGGGCGAAAAGGAAAACAGGCGGAGAGAGAAGAGCGCCACTCACTAGCCGGTGCACGGCATCACGGCTGGAGCGCGCGTCGCACAATACAACCAGCGCACGGGCAAGCCCTCGGAACGAGGGAAAGAGCTCAGCCGGCAGACAAGCTGCGCGGGCAAAGCGAGGGCGGACCGCGGCGGCGGAGGCCCCCAAGGCGAATGGCGACTGCGACTGGGGCACTACCACCGGCGGCGCAGGGGCTGTAGCGCACACCAAGCGCCCTGGGGCGCAGCGCGCAGGAGGGGGGGCGGGCCGCCCCCGGCAAGAGCACGGCAACACGGCCTGGGGCGGCGGTGAAGCCGAGAAGCCCGACGGGTCGACCAAGAGACAAGGGCGGGCAGCGCCGGCGACAGCCAGAGCGGAAAAACGTGAGGCGAACCGCAACGGCGGCGACCCCCAAGTGGGCAGCAGTCGCTGCGGGCAGGAATGGAGGCGGGCAGCGCCAGCGACAGCAAGAGCGGAAAAACAGGAGGTGAACCGCATAGGCGGCGATCCCCAAGTGGACTGCGGGCAGGGGTGGAGCCCCTGTCACCCGCGCGGGCTGCGGGCGCAGCACCGGCGGGGGCGGCCAAGCCTCGTTCGCCCGGAGAGGGGCGACGGGCCGGAGGCGGGGCGGAGCGGGGGAGGGAGGGGAGGAGGGCCGCCCGATCTCGACTTGGGTTGGACGCCGCAAAGGAGCGCGGGCGCGGCGGGAGCGCCCGCGGAGCCAAGTAGAGAGGAGCACCTAAACGGCGCGCTCGCCGATGGAAACAAACGCGCGGCGGCCTCCCAGTCTGGAAGGCCCCCCGCAATCACAACACGGCCAGGCAGCGAGCGGCCCACGCCGGAGCCCAGCCAGGTGCCATAGCCACCGCCGGCCAGGGCACACGCTTCGCCAGCGCGGGGCTCCCCAGGTTGGAAATCCAGCGCATCTGGCACACCAGGCTAACGGAAGCACCTAACTGGCGCGCTTGCTGGCGGGGACTTGCGCAGATCGCGGGGGTCGGACGCCCGCGCGCGCGGCGCCGCGGGCCCGGCCGCGCCCTTGCGGGCCGCCCTGGCCTTCGCGCTCACAAGCCACGCAGACGGGATTGATCTCCTGCGGGCCAGGTGGGCCCACTGTGCCTCTTGCCTTTCTTGTCCCTTGTCAGACGCCTGCACGCGTCTACTCTTCTGCCGTCGCATGACAGCGCCCCAATCCACCTTCAAGCGCCGGTCGTTGCAGAGACGCCGGATGTCGTGATCCATAGTGGCCTGCTCCTCCAGGAAGGCGGGGCAGAAAGCATCGCAGCCGCTGGGGTGGTAGGTGCCTTTGCCCTGGCCTTTCCCGCCCCTCCGATCGCGGGCCCTGTTCCATCCGCCCGCGAAGAGCGCGCCGCGCACCCCCTTGAAGCGGTTGACCACATCCGCCCGCGTCTAGACCCCGCTGTCTTCCTGGTCGGAGCTACCGGGGTTCCCACTGGATTTCAGCCCCAAGACCACGGCACAGGTCTGGGCGTTCAATCCAGCCCTCCAGCCAGCGGCGCCCCTGGCAGCACCCACCGCCCAGGCGACGCGGTCATACTGGCGGTCGCGCCCCTGGTTCCAGCGCGCCCAGCTGCGGGGCCACCTGGCCGTCCTCTGGAACCACCAGGGGAGGATGGCCCTGGTGGGTCCCCGAGACTGGGGACGCGGAGGCCCGCTGGCGATCCCCCAGGCTCAGCTGGGCGATCGCTGGGTGGGGGTCTGGCGGGGCGCCGCGTTGGGGATCCCTGTCCGGGGGAAGGCTTGGGCAGCGGCTGGCGCCCCGGCTCCAGCGCCCGCTGTCCTCGGGGCCTGGGTCGGTCAGCAACACCTCGCAGACGGCCGGCGCGGGCTCCGCCAGCAAGACTTCGCGACCGGCCTGCACCGGCGCAACTTGCCCGCCGACTTGCGCGCTCCTTGGCAGCGGTTCGGTTCTGGTCGGCAGAGCCCCGCTGAATCTCAGGCGACCCGCTGCTCTGGTTCCTGCGGGGCCGGAGCGGCGCCCGCCCGCTCTGGCGCCAGAGCGCGGCGCCCCCTGGCCAGCGCGGGGCTGCAATGCACTTCCAGCTGCGCTGCGTCGGCGTGTCTACTGCCCCGTCTGTACAGAAAGGCCGCCAGGGCGTCGGCGTCTCTGCGCATGTGGTCGGCACCCCTGTTCGTGGCCATGGTTCCCAAGAAGCTCGCCCAGGCCCGCTCGAACTGGTTGTCGACTGTTCTGGGCCTGCCCTTGCCCGACACCCAATAGGCGATGATGTCCACATGCGCGGCGCGCCTGCCCCAAGGGCACTTGTTGGGTATCCCGCCGGGTGGCATGTCGCCGTCGTTTACATGTTCGAGGCGGGTCAGGCACTCCTCTCGCGCCCAGCAACGGGCGCCATCCGTCCTTGGCCCGTGCTTCCCAGGTTCCGCGTTCCACCGTCTGTCGACAAAGCCCTGCCCTGCTTCGTCGATGTCGTAGTACAGCTCACGGGCGTAGGTCACCAGGACGCGGGAAATGTCCTGGCCAAGCCTGTCGCGGAGAAACGGATCAGGCCCGTAGCTTCCAAGTCGGCAACTTCACTACACGCCCAACTGGGAAGGCGGAGGGCGGGAGCGTCGCTAGGTCGGCCAGCACCGCTGCCACGCTGTCTGGGTTCATTAGGGACTGGACGCGCGCCTCGCGCTGAACGTCGGGCGCCTGGCGCGCTGGCCAGGAGGCACCTGGTTGCAGGAAGGGGCATCCGCGCAGCGCCTTCGGCCCCTGAGTCTGCAGAAAGGCTGCCAGGTCGTCCTCGTCCAGCCACGCGGGCACCTTGGCGACACCTCCGGGGAGGGCCGGGCGGAAGCCGTCCCAGGCGGCGCAGTTGTCGTCTGACTGGCGGATG